GCCATTGCGGACAGTCTATTCGTTTCAGGATGCGGAGTGGCCTGTCATATCGGAGCCTAAACAATAATGAATATTATCACATTTGACAACGGAACAATAATAGGCTAAACCAAATGGTATGTATTGGCTCTTCCCGCTTTCCATACAGAGACACGTTAAATAAGGCTTCTTCAAGGTGTTGTTGTCACAAGTAGTGTATGAAGGGGGTTTCTGGGACACTTTTTAATCCCAATTCTCATTTTTTATACCTTTTTCAATGATTTTTATGATTCAAATGTTTATTAACAAACCATTAACGACTTATGATATTACAAAATTAGCTAAAAAATTAATAAAAATTATTATATTTTATAGTTTAAGAAGAAGTGATATGAAAACATTAATAATTATTAAAGTTTAGTAAAGACCCATGTTTCTGTCTTTATGTTCACCTGGCTTACAAGGTACAGCAAGAATACCACCACTTTTGTGATTTTCATATATGGTAATTCTAGGTATTCCTTCAGCCCTACGATGGTAGTGGGCTTCATTTTCACAGAGTTGTACCAAAACTTCTTCTACTGAATCGTTATAACTCATATAGGCGATCGATACGAAATACTGATCGCTGCTAGGAACGTTCAAATAGAATTCAGCTGTAGAATAATCACTATAAGCCGCAGGAAGATAGGTGTAACCAATGCTTTGGTCAGCACGATAATAAACCGTATTAGTTACTTCCGAAACACCGTTTACACCTAAAAATGCTTGTTACAAAAAAAGTCTAATATCGAGATAGCTAACCTGCTGACCCTTTTATCTTTTTATATTCTGCACTAAGTTTGGCGCTAACTTCTGTTCTTACTTTTGTATTCCGAATATTATCGCTGTCTACTCGCACAAAAATGTCTTTTAATGACTTGTTAATAATTTCTACCAAACCCAACTTGTATACTAATTCTGTAAACGCAACTGTATTCAATTGAGTTTCATTAGCACGTAACTTACGAAGAGAGGCATCTGCTCCGGTGAGATGAGGTATGACTTGTTCAATATGTCCTGGGGTAGCATATATATTACGACCATCAAAGGTAACTATGCAACGCTTTATAATTGAATGATTCTCAGCATGCATGGACCACGACCCTGAATTCATGTTTTTATATGTGAAAAATCAAATAGAAGAAGTGTTCTTCATTAATTCATAACCATATTTTACTTATGTCTCAGTTCATCTTTTGTCTTTTGTGAAATGGTGGACTACCAATTGAAACCAGGTTATGACTTAGTGAGAATCTAATAAGTGAAAAGCGAAGTCACTTACCATCATCATTTTCTGTCATTATAGTCATAAGAGCATGTAAATCGTTTCCATCATGTGGGAAGAAGGATTTTTGCTCATGAGCATTTAAGATGGTAAATGATGTGCTTGTGTCCACAATATGATAAGCTTCATATTCATTAGTTTTTTTGCCTGATGCATTCGCACCAAACACTGTTGCTATATTGACATCAACGCTAACACTATTCATAACGATGGAATCCATTTTACGATTGCAATCAATTTTTACTTTTAACCGAAGACCAGATTTATTTTTAAAAATTATTTGTGTGGTTGGTCGAACATAAGTAGCTTGATTGTTACCCATTTTAAACTGAAAGTAGTTAAATAAATAATTTAGAAAAACAGTAATTGTACAAGGAAGAGACGAAACAGTGCGAATAAGAAACAGAGAGTGAGGCCACACTCAGACTGTATAAAAGCCAAGATGGTATGAGATTAAACATGCTTGTATATGTATTGTTGTCGTGAGCGCGTGTGTCTATTATAAAGGTTTAATTACCCTAGTTTGAGGTCTAAACGTAAACAGTAATAATAATAATATATATATCAAGGATTGATAGTTTTGAAATAAATACAAAAATATTAAATATTTACTAATAACCACGAATTTCAATTTATTAACTTTGCTCTCTAGATGATGAGGTAAGAGTCTCCATTGTAGATCGCTTACCAAGCCGTAAATGGCAATTTTGATAAGCTGATAAGCCTTTTTATATTAGTTTCAGCAACATTTCAGCATTTTTCCGAGGCGTACCTTATTTTTGTTGATACAACGTCTTTGTCTGATTATATTGCTTCATTAAAAATAAGATTATTCCTTTTTGTCTTACAACTCAACAATGTGTTTGATAAGGAACATTATTTCATTGAAATGAGAGGAAAATTCGTTGACAACTGTGAGAAATAATTATGAGAAATTTTTCCAAATTCCTCATTTACAGGTATATTTTTACGGAATTCAAAAAAGAAATTGGGCATGACCCGTGTCCTTTTTCACGTGGTCGAAAAACGAGAACAACCGTTTCATGCAGCTGCACGCTTGAAAATGAAAAGGTGATGAAACTAAGAAATGTAAAGGAGTTAAGAAGACAACTGATGATTATAAAAAATGTCTATTTGAAAAGTTTACTATACAAACATCTTTATTATTCATGTTTTGACAATGTATATCTCATGGATACACCTCTAAAACTCATTATTTTAATTAGTTTTGCCATTTCTTCAAGATCATGATTTGTTAAAGGTTTCAATTCTTTTTTTTTTAGTTTTTTCATTCCGATGGAAGAAAAGTCTGTATTTTTGCACATTCTACAAGTCATATGAACTATTCTTTTATTCATTTTAACAAACACAATTCAGCATAAAAACAGTAATTTATTAAAAAAAATTATTTCCCGGGCTAGACATTGATTTGCTTGGGATGGTCTGCAAAGATAAGTTAAGATTTAACGATTTCTTCAAATAACTAACGACACGATTCTTGGAACTGTGTGTTTTGGGATTAAACCCATTGGTGAGGCACAAATTCCGAAGCCATCGAACCAGACTGTTTTGTCAAGTGATAGACGGCCGTGTCTAACAGTGATTGTGGAGTGGCAGGGATGTTGCCATCTATTGGAGAGAGAATATTCCTGTTGGAATACACCTTCTTCACCTAAAAACAATTTGATCTATAAATGTTTTAAATTAGTAAAACTCACCTGACGATCGACCTTTTCCTGGGTAATATCAAACATCTTTACCACAACTTCATTTCTAAAAGTTGAAATAAGTTCAAAATATTATAAATATGTTGTAAAACAAAACAAATAATAATTTAGTGTTATTAAAGCACATATGAAAACATACCTCATGTTCTCAGGTAACATATCGATTACAAGTTTCTGTTGAAACTTCATTGGCATGTGATGGAATACTGAGTCACGAACAATAACTTTGTATTCTAAAAAATAAATTGATTTAATCAATCAAAAGAAATAGAAACTTTACTCGGATTTTCTCCTATCGTTCAACTTTTTCGCGCTCTTTCTTTAAACAGTTATTCCTCGTGAACCTTTTGTCTACCGAGATCTGCCTTTCTGATGTTGCCTTTCGCAACGTCTACTTCTACTTCCAGTCTCTTACGAATGAACTCTAGTTCCTTATTCAACGCCTCACTCCCTCGTTGCGCCTTGTTTCGCTCTTCTAAGAGCTGATCAAGCTTCTCTTGCTCTTTGTTCCTATTATACTCCATCTCGGAGTATTTTTTACACAACGCCTCTGTGGAAGGTAATTTTCTCTTCCTTATAAATTTCTCTATCTCAGGGGTTTCAGCGCAGTACTCTATCAGCGAATGCATCTCGCATTTGCTGTATTTCCACTTTCATCTTATCCTTAAGCGACTCTTATGGCTCGTTGGATCTAAGGTGATCAGCGGAAGCCCATTTCTTATTTTTTGATGGGTCCTCTAGCTCAGTAACATGAGTGTATATGGTCTACCTACATTAACTTCTTAATCAACTTTCTTAACATCTTAATCCATCCCAAAATATATCTTCTTATCTTCTATATCTACTTACGGTGTTCCACCGTCTTTCAGACATCTTCTTATTTTCCTTCCTTTTGACTATGTCTCCTTTACGTGTATTATCCACGTGCCTTGCGTGTGCTCCTCTCTTACACCAAACACAAAAAAACGTGCTCTTTGGAATAGAAAAACAGAGTTTTATCAAATTTTATCTCTTTACTAAAATAGAACGAATAGTCTTTTTTACTATTTTCCTTATAAAATAGATACGATTGCGTTAAATTTTTAATTTTTTCAAACTGATTCCTTTTCACAGCAAATTGACCTAAAAATTAAAGAGGGCGAGATTGTGGCCCAGAAGATGGCAATTTGAAAAGTGCTTGTTTTCAAGATTTTCTTTTAAAAAATTGCTGATTCACCAAAAAAACGATTGATTTTACTGAGAAACAAGCGACCTAGGGAATAGATCAATGGGTTGGTCTAGCAACGTAGGTTATAGACTTTCAAGCGCTGTTGCTGAAGCCCAGGCTAAAGCACAGGTTGCACTCAACGCTTACTTGGAACAAGTATGTTATACTCCTGTTGAAGAGTCTA